CTGTGATGAACACGACTTATCCCTCCAAGAACTGATGTAACATAGCTAACCTGTCACTGTGATGAACACGACCTATCCCTCCAAGAACTGATGTAACATAGCTAACCTGACACTGTGATGAACACAACCTATCCCTCCAAGAACTGACCTAGCATTGTCAGGTAATAGGTTGGTGGGTACCTGGTTAGAGTCAGGTAATAGGGTGGTGGGTACCTGGGTAGGGTCAGGTAATAGGGTGGAGGGTTCCCGGGTAGGGTCGGGTAATAGGGTGGTGGGTACCTGGGTAGGGTCAGGTAATAGGGTGGTGGGTACCTGGGTAGGGTCGGGTAATAGGGTGGTGGGTACCTGGGTAGGGTCAGGTAATAGGGTTGTGGGTACCTGGGTAGGGTCAGGTAATAGGGTGGTGGGTACCCGGGTAGGGTCAGGTAATAGGGTGTCGGGTACCTGGGTAGGGTCAGGTAATAGGGTGGTGGGTACCTGGGTAGGGTCAGGTAATAGGGTGGTTGGTACCCGGGTAGAAAATTAAGACTCGTCCCAGCACTAGCAAAACCCTATGATCATAATCAGTGTGCATCTGGGATTCGAACCCATGAAAAATGATCAGGGTACAGTTTGGTGAATTGCATTACCTAGGCCACTGGGCCACCTCAAACATCCTGAAATCCTGACCATTTTATACAATGCATGTGTTTTCACAGGAGTGAAAGGGACATCTAAACAAGACCCGACATTTCTCCTGCTCCAAACAGAATTATCTACAACATGATGCTGTGAACTCAGAACTTGTTTCCACCTGTGACAATAGAAACTAACCATCCACATAGCAAGAGTCATCTCACAGCTCCCTCAACCATCACCCCCCTCCCCAAACACACACACACAGCTAAAACAATGATTATCCAGGTCCAAGGGGGATAACTCTTTGATCCCATTATTTGATAAAGCCTCTGTTAATGTTATTTCCCGACATTAATGTTCCCTCTGATAGGATAATGTGATTTTCAACATGTCTAGTGGTTCAATCACTATCAATGGCAGGACATTATTCTGTTTAGGGGTTCTTAGCAGTTATTTTCCATGACAACAAAGCATATCATTTTTCTATGTGAACACACTAGTGTATCTCAACCAGATTAATACACTCACTAGGGAAAAAGGAACCCCACAGCCAAGTATTCTTTTTGATCATAAATCTATAGACGACTTCCAGCAGCCATTAGCTTCAAGACGGAGGAATCTCATAAATAGAAATGGAAATGTCTTGATAACTCATCCCATCAGTCTGGAAAAATACCAAATAAACAATTTGATATTTTTCTATATTAAATGTGAGAGAAAGCTACTTGCCGGCCTTGTCAGTAATCAGCATGTACGCCTCACAGCAGTTTCTGATTTATCACAGAGAATCAAGTAAGCAAGATAACATGGGCTGTGATAAACACCATCCGATGTGAAGTCGCAAATAGCTTTCTGATTCTAACTTCCGTCGGGTCTTACAAGGAACTGGGGACAACCTGCCCTGGACTCCCCATAGGATGAAATGCTGAATCTAGACTGATCTAAACATGAAGCACAGACATACAGATGGTGCAAAATAGGTTTATTCAATTTCTCAATTCAAAGTATAAATTATGTCCTAAGTAATAAAGTGAGATTTCATAAATATTCTCAAAATTAGAGCAGGTAGGTTTTAACACCTACATTGCTGACAGCCCACTAAACAGAGACAATAGTAATATCTCCACTAAAGCCAGAACTCCAAAACTAATCACCAAATATTTAATATCATGAAAAGATAATTCATGTAAGGAATAATTTTCAATTTAAAATTGAACTTAATGTCAGTTTAAAAATTTCTTCTGAGGTGCTGACAACAGTTTGACAACTAGCACTCTTACATGGTAGTTATCAAGGACAGCCTCAAAAGCATAGCCATGAAGAGAGACTGGGGTGATATTTGTTGGAATACCTCTGTCATGTGTTACCAATATTTGTCCTATTTTGAGACCATCACCCAACCTGAGATCTACGACCAAACTCCACGGCAGTTCAGTACACTAATTGTCCCTTGTAACCATTATAGACAACTACAGGAATCAATAACGATCAAGACAGGCACCGAACCAAACACTTACCGATTCCATGTCTGGGACAGGCTGTCAGGAATCCAGCCCTCAGACAGGTATTTTGGTTCGCATATTGCACCCCACCCCCTCCAAGCTGCTGGAGCTAATATTAGCCCCCTCTCGTAGATTTCCCATCCTGAGTGGCATCATGTACATTGCACAGTATGAGTGGCATTTCCAGGTGTCGATTGCAGGTGAAGGTGAATATCAAATCTCCTTGGACTCATTTCAAAGTGTGATTCAATAGACATAGTTGTTTGTATTGTTTCATGTATAGACATTGACGTTCCGATTGTCCCTGAAATGTGTGTCACTAGATGACATTGATTGATTGATACACATTGTTTGTGGTGTACTTACGTGCTTTAAGTCTTATTTGTTTTTTCATGATCACTTGCATATAATCCTGTCATATGTTTGGTCCTTTAAAATGTTTAATACATGCAGCTCATCATTATGTAGAAGAAAAGACTTAATGTAAATAAATTATCAACTTACTTACTTAAATTAGGAATTTAACGTGTGCTTTCCGACATATGCGTATTTCGCGCACAGCAACTTATCAAAGCAGATCTTTGTTTTTATATATGCAGTCCACAAGAGCAAGTTTTGCCAGCATGGTGTGATATGTTGTCTCTAGTGCACTGACATATACTGGTACATAAAAACAGCAACAACCCTTCCTATATTAGCTTGTCTTATTTAAGGGTCACTTTTCACAAACACACACACCTGACAGTGTTGCACCCGTTGAATCAAAGTGTAAATGTCCAAACATCTGAGTAACATAGAATTGACTTCAATATATTTTGCATTTATGGAGGTATAGCAGATTAACACTATAAACACAAATACATATTAAAGTTAATTCTTATAAATAAATATGTCAACAATAATAACTAGAGACTTCTTATTTAATCATTAACAGACATAACCCTGTGGAGAACACTACAAAACCAGTGATATCGTTCAGTGCAATAATACAACACAAGCCCCACCCATTCTATTTCCAGCCAATCAGGAAACAATAGTCCATTAGTGGTCATGGCCTATTTTTTTATTTTTTTATTTTTTATTTTGGTGTGTGTGTGTGTGTGTGTGTGTGTGTGTGTGTGTGTGTGCGCGTGTGCTCGTGCGTGTGCGTGTGAGTGTGTTATGAAAACATAAACATAAAAAAATAGAATGTGTTTTTACTCCTAAAAACAGATGTCTCTCCCTCCTTAAATTTGAGACATTAGTTCCAGTTGTCACTAAACATGTGTTTGCAAATCCGAGAAAAACATAACAGCAAAAAAATACCAGTACAGATTCTGATTTTTGCATCAATGAGGCTGCATCACAGTTGATGCTATGTTGACTATTCATGGTAGACTGTTGAACTTGCAACAACAGTTTGGATGACAGATTGTATTGAGCACGTAGATCTACCCATAATGAACAAGAACAAGTGTTATGCTAAGTAGAAAGGCTCCTAAGAAGTTATGTTGAAAAAGAAATTTAAAAAAATTATAATTATAATATATTGAAAAGCACTAGTTGAGCATGTGGTCATTGCACATGTATAGTTTCATGCCAAAATATTCATTAGTTTGAGAGTTATGGCTCGGAAGCAAACTCTACCCTCGTTTGAGACTAAGTTGAAACTGTTTCCATGGAAAAGCAACAAAATAAAACAGAAAAATTTCAAAATAGCAAAATGCACCTGTTTAAGTGATGAAAAATGTTGAAAGGTGTTTCTAGTCTTTCAAACAAACCCTGAAACCAAAATATCCTGAACTCGTCCACATTTTTTTGGCAACTCCAATTTCTTCAGTTCCAGGAACAAACATATTCTCTTGGCGCCTTTCCATTATACAACACAACTGAGAAAATAAATACTTAAAATACTTTAATTTCGGATACTAAGTGTTAGTCAATGGTGTTAATGACTTTGTTTACAGATTCACTCCTGTCTCAACATGTCTGTATATATATATATACATATCAAAGTACAAGTAGTCAAGTGGCAGTCTTCAAAGCCTCCGGGAGATACTGCTTGAATTAAGTTAACAACACTTAAAACACTTTCCTAATAGCTTCTGCAAACGCATTACAAAGCCAAAAAGATCTAGCTTCAGGAGAAGTTTATACAAAATATCCTCCTTGACGTGAGAGTGCTGACACACTCCCGTTATTCGACTGCTTTACTAACCTGGACTGCTTTGCTTTATGGGTTAGTCCAGACCCTGTTAGTCAGTTAGTCAGGACCCTGTTAGTCAGTTAGTCAGGACCCTGTTAGTCAGGACTCTGTACCCAGTCTGGACCCTATAAGTCTGCATCCTGTTAGTTCTGACCCTGTCAGTCCGGACCCTGTCAGTATTAATCCTGTTAGTCTTCACCCTGTTAGTTCTGATCCTGTCAGTCTGTACCCGGTTAGTCTGAACCCTGTCAATCTGTACCCGGTTAGTCTGGACCCTGTTAGTCTGGACCCTGTTAATCTGGACCTTGTTAATTCCAACCCTATAAGTCCGGACCCTGTTAGTCTCAACCCTGTTAATTCTGACCCTGTTAGTCTGAACCCTGTTAGCCCAGACCCTGTTAATCTGGACCCTGTTAGTCTGGACCCTGTTAATCTGGACCTTGTTAATTCCAACCCTATAAGTCCGGACCCTGTTAGTCTGGACCCTGTTAGCCCAGACCCTGTTGGTCCAGACCCTCTTGGTCGTTCTTCCAGAATGGCCAACATTTACATATGTACAAAGGATTGTACAGATTTCAACCCTCACTATTTTTTAGTTAAGAAGTTCCTCCCGTGACCTCTCCTCATCCCCTTTTTGAACCATCCGGACATACATCATAATCTCAAGGCTGTAAAAAATCATTTTCCAACTTTACCGTTTCTGAGGCAGTGTCACTGTGCCTGAACTGGTGGTGGTGATCGTCAGCCATCATGGTGTCTAAATCCTTAGTTTCCTTTCAACGATCAAAACCGGTATCCATGTATTCATACTGTATTGTATCTTGGTGTTAGCATATGGAAGCCCTGTGGTAGGTTCTGTGAAAGATAAATACAAATATTCAGGCAACAAACCAATAGTAAAAACAAGAGACTTTCATCTTAATTAATTCAATACATTAAATAAACCTCCTGTTCCCTTTCAACATCAAAATATATATGTCAGTGACTAAATTCTTGTCACTTAACCACCTGATGCCCTCAGTGTTCTCTGCTTCCACTCATTCCAATCCACCCACTTGATAACCTTTCCATAACAAATGCTTACTTTGTGTGAATGTCAACCAATGGCGAATTTAACCATTTTCAATCAATAGCAATGAAAAAATAATTCTTCTATATACACTTGGAAATGGGTTAAGCACCAGTATATATTTCCACATAAAATAGCCATTTAAAACAAAATGTTCCTGTTTATGCTTAAAATAATTCAAATACTTCTGGAAATGTGCAGTGACAGGCAAAGTTCTTGTCCAGGTGTATACGTGGGTTAGTTTTCGGATATAATTAGACAGGTTCCAAATTATGGCTATTTTTAGTCCATTCACATGCTGCCTGATAAAGACCACTTTCTGAAAGACAGAGGAAGTAGATACTGTATTTTCAAACACTTTCTTCACCAATCAACAGTAGGTCATGAAACACCCATGTTCACAACAAACACAAATTTCAATATTATTTTTTTACATTACAACTGAAGGTTTTACCGTGAGACACACTTTCAATCACATTTGAAATTTAAGATCAGCATGTTTCATAAATATTAGAATGTCGAGTAAATATATCATCAGAATATAACAACAAGCACATGACACAAGCTTGTATTGTTCATTGTAACATTCACTGGATAGCTGACCAACCTGTAGATGACAATGACAACACAAATGAATGAGTATTTGTTTGTTGTTTAACGCTGCACTCAGCAACATTCCATCTATATGACGGCAGTCTGTAAAAAGTCTGACATCATGAGCATCGATCTACACAATTGGGATACGATGGCATGCATCTACCAAGTCAGCAAACCAGATCACTGGATCCCGATTTTCTAGCTTTACCAAGTCAGCCTGTAATTAATAGAATTTTGACCAGACAAACCAGTGACTGAAACCATTGGCAACAGCTCACGTCATCAGGACACACAGCTTCATCAACCAATCCTCTTTCATCATCTTATACAACAAGCTTGGGAAACTTAAGACCTATTCAGATCCAAAATCGCCGCAAAAGAAAAATACATATGCGGCATTCATGAACATACAATTTGTAAACTTCTTACTTCAAAGATTCATATTTGCACCATTGGAGCCACTTTGGTTAGCACTTTCCAGAGAAACATTCCTTAAAAACTGAAAATCCCTTCCAGCATCCTTGTTGTCAATTGTTCTCCTTTCAAGCCGAAAGCTGGATTATTAAACTAGAAACTTTTCATCACACTTCCACATCAGGCAAAACACAATTACATTACGGTTTACCGATTGCTCCCAGACACAAGATGATGCAAGAACTCTTGTTGCAGACTCCATTACACGATACAGGAATACATCCACTCCAATACCTTCCTCCGTCCAAGAGCCATTCTACAAATTATCGCAGCCATAACGCATCAGCATTTATTCTTCAACAAACCCAGCAAGCCTGACTGACAAATTTTATTTGTTTCTATCGAGTATCGCTAACGTCCAACACGCTTCATCCTGCACACCCACACTGCCCACCAGATGAGGGAAAAAATCAATTTGCTGTTTTGGACAGGATTCGTTAAGTGTGGTGAATTATTTCCTTCAAGATCGATTACCTCCAAAAACTGACGGTCTCTCCCGCCACGATCATGCGACACTTGTTCATCAGCAAGCCATATTCAGTCTCCAAAACAACACACAGACCATCTCTCACCCTAACGCATTGTGCGCTGTGTCAACTAAAACACAGCTAGACCCATGTCGACTATCATGCATTGCAGTCAATATCTGACACTGCAGACTGTGGTATAATTAGCAATGGGAATTTCCCAGAGTTGACTGACTTCGCATCCGCTTTATCAAAGCTGGCTTGTCGTGTTTGAGGGACTAGAAATATACATATTTCATTGCAATGACTACTAACCTTCTCCTTGGAGATTTCCGTGTCAATTTATTCAATTGGACGATATTCATTTATTCTGATAACTGCTGTATGAAAACACAACGGCAGATTGTTTGGATTTACCTAAACATACACTGCCATGGCAAACAAGAGCCATGACAGATTAACAAGAGTCATAAGGATTAAAAAAACTGGTGTTCTTTCACTTCTTGTGAGTAGTATAATTTAGTGAGTTTGATTTAATGCAGTTTTGAACAGTATTTCAGTTATATCACAGCATATCAGCTTGATATGGAAGCAAATCAAGAAGTGAAGCAGTTCTTTTACCTTTACCACTTTGATGAAACCTACCAGCATGGGTATGGTCCTGACAAAACTACAAACATAATGAGGGTGAACTTGGGATGTGAACCCTTCATAGGTTTCTGGCACACCTAAGGGATGCAACTCTGCACCGAGAATTTGGCACCTCTGACAACTGGGGTCACCCGCATTCCACACAAGGAATGGCTACAAGACTGTTCGTCAAAGAAATCCTACAGTACTGAACTCCCACTTAGTGGATAAAACAGGGCTCTAAACATTTCTAAAACCCAACTTGTCCTGCAGGGCAACTAGATAATATGTTGTACTCATCCTGCAATATTTTCACTTGCTCTGTTAATTCCATAAAGCTTCATGTTCTCAGTTAATATTTACGACAGACCATACAAAATAATGCAGAGTTCCCGCCATTCAAACTCGCTCAACTATGCGTCTTGCACAGTTCGTTTTCTTTTCTTACAGTCATACTGTTTTTGAGAAATTTTGCTTTTTCTGGCTTTTTAGTAAATCAAATCATGTTTCATGTTGTTAATCCCACCATCCTCGATCATAAACTTCTGAATGTCAGCCATTTCCCTCACAAAATCAATCATCAGCTGTTCACTATCACTTTGACATTTGAGTGTCACTGACAAGTTGCCTACAACCGCCCAAAATAATTCAATTATCTCCCTTTAACAACTAGTTTCGATACCTGCTGCGCAAATGCACTTCCTGTTTATTTCTGTAACAGACAGTTGCCAAGTATGGCGTTGATTTATGATATGAGTGACATGTATTTCAATGTTAGTACTTAGATTGTGTGAAAAACGTATTTTAGGTTCAAAACTATCTTGCATGTTTTATTGAAAATGATTGGAGATGAAATTTATGTACTTCATTAATTCTTTCTCACCCTGCATATGCTGCTACTTGTCAATACAAGTGGACAAATGGATTTTTTTAGCCCTATAAAAAACAAAAATAATAAAGTTTCGAATGACATGGCAAGTCTTTTACGCATTGTTCAGGGCTCCACTTAGACTAAACATTTTATTTTGTACGTACATATTTTGAAATACGATTTCTGGGAACTATATTTCTGGGACTAAATCAATAAATGTTTGTCCATCTTTTGAGACTGGTTATGGGTGGTGGGTAAGGGGAAGTGGGTGGTAGATGTGGGGGGCAGTAAATGTGGGGTGTGGGGGTGGGTGTAGCGCTGGAATTAAGGACATTAGCACGTGGACTACATTTCACTAAAGGTCATCCTTTCAGTCACCTGACACTGTATGACTGTAACACTTTAGTCAGGATTGAGAAGGAACTTGCCAGGTAATTTGGCCCTACAAATACACTAAATGTGAAAGGGTCAAAACAAGCTAATTTCACAAAGCTGAATATAACACTATAAATAATAAAAAACAACATCATCACATTTATACTTCACAAATGTCACTGAATCAGAAACCCGATCACGATTTCCACATAGAAGGTAGATTAACCCAGTTGTTAACTGAATGTGCGTGCATGCATTTGCAGAAACAGAGACAGCCCTAGACTAACATCTAGTCTCTGAAATAAACATTAAAATATTTTACAGAAAAAACAGTTGTTAAATAATAGTTATAAAATATAGTGAAAAGGAGCCCAGACACTTTCTCCACTTCCTGATACTGCAGGATTCTAGACTTGCCAAACATTATAGACTTGCATGGGATGCATTGGATATATTTGTTTCAGCCCCATCACCGCCATTTAGAGACTAACATTTAGTCTATGAAATCTTATATTACACAATACCCTTCTTGACTCTAAAAATTAAAAAAACAAGTATTTGTCACAAAGTGACGAAATGTCCCCCACCGGTATATACACCATAGTACCAAATATGAAGACAATCCAGCGATTAGTTCTTGAGATATTGCGGCAACACCGTTTTCCAACTCCAAAAGCAGATTTGCCTGCTGTGACCTTGAAAATGGGGTCAAGGTCACCAAAACCGACTGGTGTCTGCGGTGTCTGTATATACACCATAGTTCCAAATATGAAGACAATCCAGTGTTTAGTTCTTGAGATATCGCGGCAACACCGTTTTCCCACTCCAAAAGCAGATTTGCCTGCTGTGACCTTGAAAATGGGGTCAAGGTCACCAAAACCGACTGGTGTCTGCGGAGTCTGTATATACACCATAGTACCACATATGAAGACAATCCAGTGTTTAGTTCTTGAGATATCGCGGCAACACCGTTTTCCCACTCCAAAAGCAGATTTGCCTGCTGTGACCTTGAAAATGGGGTCAAGGTCACCAAAACCGACTGGTGTCTGCGGAGTCTGTATATACACCATAGTACCACATATGAAGACAATCCAGTGTTTAGTTCTCAAAGTTGCCAAAATCTTATCATGCCATGTACTTCCAGCCCAAACACATCACCTTCATCATGTTCCTGCCCATGACCTTGACCTTACTTGACACAACCTTGGATGTAAACATTATCCAAGTCTACCAATAGAAGTGCACCAGTAAACTGACATTGGCAGATACAACCATGTACCACACAAACCTCAAAGATAATGTTTATCTCTGATAGACATGCCACCAACATTCCAAGTCTCATGCCTGCAAGGGCGACCATGCCTCGGAAGAC